TCATGAACCGGAACCGGCCCGCCATATGTCCGGTTCCGGGCCGAAAACCGGCTTTTCCGGGCCGGTTCCGGGCCAGTCCGGGCCGGTTCCGGGCCGGGTTCGGTCCGGTTCGGCGGGCCGGTTCAACCCTTGGCCATGTCTAAGGATCATCGACCCAGCCCGATCCGGGCCCGCCGGGCCGGGTCATGAAATGAATGACCCTTAAGCGGCCTGTCTGAAATCCGGTCCGGTCCCGGGCCCGTGGTCAACGGGTTTGACCAGGCCGAGTCCGTGCCTGGTCGGCGGGCCGGTTGACCCGGTGGCCATGTCTACATCTACCACATGAGTTAGATAGACCAACTGTAATATTATTGAGACACGTCGACATGGCGTGTATTTTCTGTGTCGGATTTTGAAATTCTGGCAACAATTACCCTAAATTTGATTGAAGATACGAGACATGATATGAGAAATCGATTCCAATTGAACCAATAGTGAAACATCCCTATAGTTATGGGACTGATTTAGATATTTTCCCTCTATTTAATCATCTTAGCCATATGATACCATACTTGATCCAACGACTAAGTTGGGGCTACTAGATTTCTAGAAAATTAGACAAGTCCTGCAATTTTAGTGATTTTAATTACATTGCAATTGAGTTCATAGTCCAAATTTGTAATTCATCATAAATTTAATTAATGCACAGTAACTAATGAGTAAAGTTCACAATATTGTGTGTGGATATGCTCATTTAAAATACCGTCATATTTTTATGACATTACAGAATTATCACCGCCTACACATTTAAAAGTTCATAAATTTACCAAAATGTCACTATGCTACAGAATGCACAATAGTAGTGTTAGTCAAAATGCACATTAATGTCTGTGAAAATGCACAATAACGTAACAGTGTATTCTGTGCAATGACGTAAATATCCCGCGTGAAAAAAATAATAATAAAAAAATTCAAAAGTACACGTAATTACGTCAATGTCACTGCCCCCTTAACTAGTACTGGAGCTTTTGACCGGACCTTAAGCGTTAATATATCCAACGGCTATGATATTGTTGTTTCTTTCACTATCACTCATTCTCATTTGATCCTACTTATATATATATTTATGCATGCAGAGGCAGAGCCACCCTTGGGCTAGGGTGGCCTCCAAACAATCTCTTAAGCAAAGTATCCAGTTCGAAAGATTGCGTTTTCGCATGTTTTTAGTTCAATCCCACTTTTCGAAAGCACTTCAGGTTTGATTCAAGAACAAGAGCTGGAGATTCATCGACCCTCAAAAAAAGAAACTACTCAGAATGCTTGAGAAAGGTGTAGGTGACTCTCATATCTCTTGTGGGGGTTCAACTGAAAGACCTTCCTCTCTTTCCGGTCTTCAAGAGAATAGAGGGGATTTCAATAATGGAAGAGCTTAAGCCAGGGGTTTGCCAATAGGCTCTTTCTTTTGCACAGGCTAATGGCCCAGACTTTTTCGATTGTTTAAGATGATTCTAAGCCAACTGCCCTCCCAAGTGAAATCCTATTGGAAATGAGGGAGGGCTATAAGAAGGCGGACACTAAGGCTATGCATTAGCTACCACGATCAATTCAACACACATCTGGGAAAACCAACGCCATTTCCCGCTACTGCTTCTGCTTGAGTCAACGCTTTCCCCCTTTTGCAATTACGATCATATCGTATCCGTATCAAACCCGCGGGGTTGAATTTATTTAGAAATCTTAAAATTTTCATATATATAACTTATTTATAGTCGATCATTTCCCCCAACTCCCAACTTGTGAATTTCTTCTTCAATCGATTCATAAGACCTCCTATTTTAAATAGCAAAAGACAAACTCGAAATTTCGTAAGAGAAGAAAGTAGCCTAGAGCAGATTAGGAGAAGCTAGTGAAGAAGAGGAACTAAGGATCTTCGGGGGTAAGATGGAGAGATGCCAATACAAATGGCAATGCTCATGGTCATCGGTTCAGCCGGTCCAACTAATCGGTAAAATGAAGAAACCAAAGGTGGGATCTCTCTCATGAAAGACGGGGCAAGTTCCGATATCGAACCTTGGCTATATGGTTTATCCGGTTGATCTGGTCTTTCCAGTTATATTACATGTTTAGAATTCAATGGTATCGCTTATTCATTCCTTCAACATCTGCTTTACGTACCGGCCGCTCGGACGCGTAGAGCCATTACAACACTCCCGTACTTATCTTCCTTTCCCTCCTTATCTCGTATCGTATCAAGTGGAACAAGATCTCAGAAGACGTGAGCCCCAGTCTGTCTATATGAGACGAAATGCGGATTGATAGGAATATGAGTTGGAGGGGAAGGGGTTTTTTGGCGATTTGTTCTCCCCCCGGCTTCACCAATGGCCGGGTAATTCAGGCAACAAATCTATCCATCCTATTCTTATCCCACCCATTGATTAGGGCTCCAGTAACTCTTCCCGAAGAGCGCCCACTCACTATGGAGGTCAATTACATCGAACCTAGCCGTCGTTTTGGATTACCAAAAAAGTATTGGCGCTATTTTAACAAGCCTCGTGGTAGCCCCTAAGCCCACGGCACGGAGCGGTGGAAAATCCAGGTTTTGTCACATCAGAGACGAATTCAGACTGTCAAACTTTCGTGATAGGAGAAGGGAGCTTACTCCACAGTCGCTCTTGGTGGAAAGTGTCAAGGGAGGACGGAAAAGCAAGGCAGGAAGGCATTTGTCCAAAAAAAAAAAAATATTTGCTAACCTTATTTTAAAAAAAAAAATTTATACATAGCTCCATGTAATTTTTTATGTAGCCCCATTTAATTTCATGCTGGATGCCTCAATATTCAGATCAAATTTTTTTTATCTAACAACAATGGTGGAAAAGTGATGATCGTAGTGAGAGTAAAAAGATAATGTTTTATTGTCAAATGACAATTATGACCTTATTAGATTTTTATTAATTGGGTATATAATGTGACTCAACACACTCTTGCCTTTTAAATTTTTAATGGGCTGACTTAACAAGTACCAAATGAGCTGGATAATTAAGCTTGACACACTCATGCGGGCTATTTAATTGGACTCGTCTCATTACACAGTCCGTTATCCATTTTTCATTTGTTTTTGTTTTTTTTTGTTGATTTTGCCTTCAATAATTAATTCGGCCTCATATCCTAGACAAAGAAAATTGTTACAGAGTTGATTGCACACATGTTTGACTCTATTCATTTGATCGACAAGTTCGAATAACTATTTGAGTTTGGCTTGTTTAAATATATAAACAAGTCGAGATTGAGTTTTCCAATTCAAACCGAAATATGTTAATAGATAATTTGGTTCGAGTCATGACCAAAACCGATTACTAGTCGAAACCGCCAATCCCGGGCCGAGGGTTGGAGGGCCCTGAACCGGCGTGAACATATGCACGGGCTGATTTATTGAACTGTCGGTTCTTGGTCGTCTGGTTCATTAAAAAAAAATAATTAAAAAATGATGTTTTTTCAAAGAAAAAGGTTGAACCTCAAGTTCCGGTTCGAGTTCGGAACCGAAACTGCGGGTTCAAAATGTATAAACTATAAATTTTAAAGTATTGTACATGAACCGAACTGGTCAACGGACCGGTTTGTCTCAGTTCAGGTCGAACCGACAGGCTGGGTCGGCCCATTACCATGTCTACTCGGTTCCAATAATAGCTACAATAATATGCAGCTCCGAGTTGAAAATTTTTCTGGCTATATGCCCCATGCATGTGTGTGTGAGATATTCACAATCAATTGTCGGTGTAGATCTAAGGTAGGTTGTGTCAAGTCCGAAATAAATCATGTGCGTAGACAGTGCTTATATTTGCAGAAACTTCCTCGAAATTTTTATGCAAACCTAATAACAGAGAGAAAGTGTTAGGGAGAGAAGAAAACTCATTAACCGAAGACGAATAAACTCATAAACTTTTGAGCTAATCAACAATAGTACAACGTTTATGTGATGCAACAACACCCTATGATATACTAAATCTAAAATCAGCTCGGACCTCTCATCAAGACAAAACTTAGCTATAACTCTTTTAGCCTTCAGCCCAATTTAATTTGATGGAGTTCCGGTCAGCAATAATAAATAAGAAAAGAAAAAAGTTAACCTTACTTATCTTTTCAATTTTGGCACCTAAAGGCCAACAATTATAATAATAATAATAATAATTATTATTATTATTATTATTATTTACAAATTAATGCTCCTCTTAATAATTAGTAGCTTTCTATTAGCTTAACTGGTCCGGGATCAGCCAGTGAAGGGCAAATAATTAACACGCAAATCACAGTTCACGGTGGTGAATTTAAATTAAAGTATCTTGTTATTATGCCTTTCAACCCCCTGAATTAAGTCAACATATCATTCAACCTATATAATTGTTTATTAATTAGTCCATTCGAATTTGGACTCATGACTGATACTGAGTACTGATCCATAATCACTTGAGCGTATTTTCTTGCGAGTAGCATTTTAAGGTTCTGAAATAATAAAAATGTAGTAGTTATAAAAGAAATTGAATGCATAAAAAAATTAATCACACGCGTCATTCAGAAATTGAACGCGGATTATTATTATAATTAATTGCACCGTACCTATGGGACAGGAAATCTGGATTGATAAGGTGAGATGAGAGTTTATAATATAATATATTTAGTGAGGAGGTAACTGGGGGAAGCTTTATGCATGCAGCTAGCTAGGCATAAATGTCCGAGAGGAAAAATCCAACAATTACTGTTTGCCTTTTTGCATTCAGGGGAGAATGCACTGGGGAAGGCTACTTAGTTCCTCTTTTATCTTTCTTTCTTTTTTTTTTTTTTTTTTTTTTTTTANCGATACCTTTATTTTACTCGGGAAACGTTAAATCGCACAAATTTAGCATATGCATTGAACAAATGTCGCCAAAAATTGCTCCTGTATATTAAATTATTAATAACTGCTAATTAAGTACGATAATCATGGCCGAGGAAGCTGAAATGATGCCCCCACCTTCGACAAAATGGAAAATCCCAATCTTCGTTTTCTTCAGAGATGTTAGGTAGTATTATACTTATATCAGATATATGCATGCATGCAACTTTATGCGACATTATATTTTGCAGAATGCATGAAATGATAAATTAAATTTCCTTGTCTGATTATTTTTTTGTTGGCTTTGATTGTAGTCATGTATTCAAAAGGGATGAGCTCGGAATGGAAATACTGCGGATTGCATTCCCGGCAGCTCTGGCATTAGCTGCCGACCCCATTGCATCTTTGATCGACACTGCTTTCATCGGCCATTTAGGTATTGTAACTTCTAAACCATAATTATTAATTAGTTCTTTTATAACTCCAAACAAACTTCACTCAGTTTACTTGGGCCGTGGTGAAAACAGGTCCAGTAGAAATAGCAGGGGTGGGAGTTTCGATAGCAATATTAAATCAAGCTTCCAAAGTCACCATTTTCCCGCTCGTTAGCATCACAACCTCATTCGTGGCAGAGGAGGACACTATCGAAAAAATAAACGCTCAAAATGCGGAAAATGACGACGAGTTGGAGAAAGGGTTTAATAAAAAAAACGGCAACACTAAATCGACCACGTCACCAGATGAGAGCTCGAGCTCGAGCTCGGGCACAAAAGACCAAGTTCAAGACAACGGTAGGTGTAGTAATTATTAATTACTTTGGGGTGGGTGCATATATATTTTGAGCAAAAATATTTGTGTTAAAAAAAAAAATGATTTAATATTCTTAATTTGTACAAGAAGAAAAGAAGCCGACATGCAAGACTGTAGATGATTCCTTTGGCATCGGTACTAAAAACAAGGCGAAATCCGAAAGTAAACGTCGTAATATTCCTTCTGCGTCGACTGCACTGCTTCTTGGGGCTATTCTTGGGCTTTTTCAAACACTGTTACTCATTCTTCTGGCAAAACCCTTCTTAAGTATCATGGGCGTGAAATCGGTAAAG